AAAATGAGTATTACTGGTTATAATACAATACAGGTTGGAGTTGCTGGGATTGTTGCTCTTCAGATTTTTTGGAGTAAATAGTACTGGCTTAAATTTTAATATTTCATGATACTAATTTTATATCCTCTGTGTGCTATTGTCTGTTACTTACAGGTGGTAGAGGTAGGCAGATACCTCAGTCTGGAACTCCTGAGTCTAGAGAAAGGGGAATACTCACAGACGGTGCAGGTAAGGCTTTTTAGTGGCAGGGGTGAACTGTACGGGTTTCCTCTTTGGTGATCAGTGACAAAGCAGTTCCTTCTTAATTCTGTCAAATACTGTCATTAATTTTTCTCCCTGTTAAGAACCTACTGCAAATGCTATATATCTTAGTTGTATGCCTGGAAAATACATGTTTGTAACTAATTTGAATTTTAGTTACTGGCTTTTCAAAGCTGTAGTGTTACATAACCTTTCCTCTTGGTCATGCTGAGGCTGGTTCAGTTAATGCACAGTGAAGCAGAGGTGCTTGCCCCAAAAGTGAGAGTAAGCCTTTAAGAACTTAGTATATTTTGAAAGAGTTGATCTAGATTTTTACCCTTCTGCTCTCTGTAAGAGAAAATATTTTATTGTTAGTGCTGACAAGTAAGTTGTATAGCTCTCACAGGCCACTTCTAATTTTAACTTTGTTTTCATTTTGGTGCTTTTTTTTTGTTTTTTGCTAACAATTTTCCTCCCATAGTTCTGCTGTATTCTTCTGCCACTGTTGCTACTGTACCTGCCTATGTATATGTTGTCCTACCTAGAGTATAGTAATATATTATTTACAGGAGTACCGTAATTCAAATTAGGAATGGAATTAAACCAGGGTCATGGTCAGTGGATGGCTGATATTCTCCATGTAAGAACATTTTGTGTGATAATAATGAAAAATTTCATTGTAGAAAAGATGGCTAAATGGCTCTTTGCTTAGAGGGTGAGTTGCAGTGAAGCATTGCAGTTGACCTAGAAAGCTTGTGGATGCCTCATCGCTGGAAGTGTTCAAGGGCACACACATTGTTGGGCTTTGAGCAATGTGTTCTAGTGGAAGATGTCTGTCCTGCGGCATGGGGGTTGGAAATAGATCATCTTCAAGGTTTCTTCCTACTCAAACCCTTCTGTGATCCAGTGATTACTATACGTGTTCAGAAACGATATTTAATGTTTGAAGAAAAATTGATTTGCCTCTGTTTGACTCAGTTCAACTATTTTTAAAATATTTTTAGTTCAAATAGTGATTTTTAGGAATTGAAGTTCTTATAGAGGCAATATGCTAGTGCTTATAGTGGGCATAGCTGCATCCTTAACACAGAATAGTAATTCTTTTTTCATTGCTATAGTGTGAAGTATTAGTGTTTTAAAAACTGTTCTGGATACTGGTATGCAACAGTTGCATCTATCTGTATGGAATCTTACGTGGTAAGAGAGGTCTTCAGAAAGAGTAATTTGTTGAGTGGGAAGCTTGTCCTTCCTTGTATCATAAGAGCATGTATCTGTCTGGGTGATGAAGATTTAATTTAATTACATAAATAATCTAATTTAATTTTTGTGATACCTCTCGAAAGTGGGGTCCTTGAATGAATGTGAGACATGAATGCTTTACGAGTCTGACTTCATATGGAGGTAAATTTTAAGTCTTGTAGTATAAAATTAAGTTGTGATAGAAGGAATGTATGGAATTTTAATGCCTTCCTGAAAAAATGGAGGGAAAGCTACATGACATCTCACTGAACTGAACTTCCATAGCTTCATACTTAAAATAGTTTTAACTTCTCCTTATATTGTTTGTGAGCCTAAGTGGTTGTCTTCTTAAGGTCCAAAGGTGACTTACGTGCCCCCTCCTCCACCTGATGATGAGCAAGCCATATTTGCACGTTATCAGACAGGAATGAATTTTGACAAGTATGATGAAAACATTGTTCAGGTGTCAGGACTGGACCCTCCAGCAGCATTAATGGTTAGTAAACTGTTTATTCTCACAGTTTATATGAAGCATAATTCATGACTATTGTAGTGGGTTCAGTATTTGCAGCTAATGAAAATACTAATTAAAAATATCAAATATTGCGGATAATGTGGTGTTGGAAGGAGGTGCTCCCCATTTGAATGATAAAAATTTGAATTCACAGTAACTAACAAACTAGAAGTGGTCCAGAGAAAGTAATACTGGATATATAGGAAGAATAGCAATTAAATTGTGGAAGAATACCAGTTTAGATATTGAAAGAAAGAGGTCTTTGGCAGCAGTTTGGTAGGCTGGTATAATTTCCTTATTGAAGTCAATTACTGGGGAGTCTTCAAAAATGTAAATGAACACCTGTTTGGGTAGTATTCATTTAGACAGAGGGGTGTTTTAAAGTAATTCTGTTCTCTGTGGTTGCAGTTCATTGTTTAATATATAACTTAGTTCTTTATCTATAATGGGTGGCCAGTGTTTAAAAAGCAAAAAGCTCTTTTTAGGGAAAAGAATGAGGAGAGAAGTGGAGAGGGGTTAGTGGTACCTGTCTTGCAAGAGATCATGCAGAGGTGAAAGTGTTCTCACTGAAGTTAAACTGATTTTTGTCACCTGTTGGTTCTGGCTGGGAATGTTGTTTTAGCTCCCCTTACTGGTTTTAGCACAGAGATCATGTGTAGCTCCTACATTAAATGAAAAAACAGAGTTTCAGGTTTTTTTTCATAGCATGTGAATTTACTTGCTTGAATCCAGGTACAGGACTTCTGAGCCATTCTCTCTTAAAACTAGTAAGACCAGCTGAAAGCATTCACAGCGTTCACTGTCCTGCAGACAATGTTTATTGAATGGCATGAGCAGATTTTAGAGACCTTTGGGGCTTTTACCTTTAGGAGCTTTGGTAACCTCAGTGACTGGTGAAACTACCTCTAAAGTTAACACTCTTTAGTATTTGGTTGTGTCTATCCTACAGTAAGCATTTTGGGTTTTAAACTTATACCTTCGGTGATTGTGTAATAACTTAATAATTTTTTCTGTTACAGAGTTTTGCAGACACCAACATGTGTGATACTTTAACTATGAACATTTCTAAAGCTGGATACTGTAAGCCTACTCCAGTGCAGAAGTACAGCATTCCTATTATACTGGCAGGACGGGATTTAATGGCATGTGCCCAGACAGGATCAGGAAAAACTGTGAGCATTTTGTGCAGTATTTATTCTACAGAAAGTATTCAACTATGAGCTTTCTGGGGAGTGCCTCACTCTTCCACATGTCACATGCTTGACTATTTGTTGTCCAGCATTTTACTTGCACAGCAATGACAGGTATCAGGGACAAATACAAATGACTATGATAGGGTTGTCAAATTTTGGGCTTTATTTCAGTAAGCTACTATCTTGGTACAGCAGGCCAGCCTTCAGAGATACAGCAGTGGATTCAGAAGTATAGGCAGGCAGTCCTAGAAACTGCTGATGATTGCACTCAGCAGTTGAAAATAAGGACTTCTGTGCTGTGTGGAATTTTGTTTTATTTAGTGGGGTTTCTGTGTGTGTTTGGTTTTGTTTGTTTGTTGGCGTTAATTTTTGTGGTTGTGTGGTTTTTTTGTCTTTTTTTTTTTTGTGTGTGTGTGTATGTTTGTTTCTTTATTTTTTATTGTATGTGTATGAGTTTTTTGTGAGTTTTGGTTTTGGGTTTCTTCAAACATACGCCAGCCAGAGTGTAGCTGAGCTGGTTTGTCATACTTGGTTAATGAAATCTGACGTGCACCTGTCTTGATTTTAGGTGATTTGCTTTTAATCATGGAACAGTATTGAGAGTTGATACTAAGCTGAAAGTTGTCTCTAATTTTTTTAAACTAATGTACCCAAAGCTAATGACTGACAGCTGGTGGATATGGATATTTGGTTATGAAGTGTAGCATTTTGCTGTTTAGTGTGGAATTGTAGTTTTGTTTTAAGGTAGATTGCTAGTTCTTTCAAAAGACCTCTTGTTTGCAGAAAGGGAAACATCCAAAGTCTGTGCTCTAAATACTCTGAATGCTTTTGGAACTACTATACAGATGCAGGTTTGTGGGTGTCTAGTCTTATGTGGAAGTAAGTGTGCTGGTGTGGTGCAGCTGTGTTGCAAACTGATCTGCCATTCTGGTAGGTTATGGTCTTGGGTGACTTAATTATCAGGGTATGTCATCAGTGTATGCAACTGTATGGAAAGTTAGCCTCTGCATGATTGTGTTCCTGTGTTACTAGCCTGTTAAGATCCAGAGATACGCTTTCATACTGGGTTAACAAGGAGAAATAAGCTTAAATGTTCTCTTGTGCATTCAGGTAAATTCTTCTGCAGTCTGATGTCCTTGATCATTGTGTATACAATCATTCAAGCTTTAAGATCAATATACATATTTTAATGGGACTGATGAAAATTTTTACGATTAAACAGCTCAAATACTGCTGTGGTTTTTTTTCCCCCAGGCAGCGTTTCTTGTACCAGTTGTGGCCCAAATGATGAGGGATGGCGTAACTGCCAGTGCATTTAAAGAGCAGCAAGAACCAGAATGTATTATTACTGCCCCAACTAGAGAACTGATAAATCAGATTTTCCTAGAAGCAAGAAAATTTGTGTATGGGTAAGTTTTTGTCTGATATTGATGATAACTTTGCTTGAATCAGCAGTGCTTTAATTTTTTAATAAATACTTGCCTTTTTTTGTGTCAATCAAATTACAAATACTTGAGTTTAGATTATAATGAGTTCAGATTATAGTACTGCTTAGCAGGTTTCTTACTACATGACTAGTGCCTAATCTTTCTGATATTGGGGTGGGTGAATGGAAGGCTTACTCCAGCTTGAAGTAAGTATTCAGCTTATCACTGATGAGAAAAATGAAGTTTCTTAAAAGACTTGCTAAGAAAGTTTTCTGTGGGACCGTCCAGTAGCCACTCTGGCAGTCACTCTGACACTACCAGGTACTTCAACTGTTGGAACCAAAGTCCCTTTGCAGCAGGTGGCTCTAGTGAGCTGCTTGCTGCTCGACTTAACTTCCTACACACACCACTCGGAGAGTCAGATGAGGTTTCCTCACTGATTCGACTCCAGGTTTCCCACAGCAGAATCTCAGACTTCTGTTTCTTTCAAGTAATTTCATTGTTTTGCAGCAACGTGTAACAGCTCAAACAGGGTATCTCTTGAAGGGACCTCTGAACAAGGTCTGCTCCTGCAGAGTCTGAGCATCCGGTGACCTGGCTAGTGATGCAGGTCCATGTGCCCTTTGTTAAGTAAAGGATCAGTACCAGTTCATGGTCTTTTGCCTGGGCTCCAGTGATTTCTTAGCACCCAGAGGTCAGTGTGCAGCTTGCACTGCAGCTGCACACTGAGCTACCTGCACTAGATGTATTCAATATGAACAAACTTAATAGCTTGTGTTATGTAATTTATACTTGCTTTCATCTTGGCAAAATGGAGGTGAGTGTTACGGGTTTTAGTTAATTTCCAGTGATGGTTTCTAATTACTCTTGCTTCCTGGTGTTTATACTCTTAGACAGACATGTTACACCTCAAAGGAATTCTTTGAGCTTTCAAAACAGAGCAAGAGATCTAAACTTCTCACGAAGTCTTTCAATATTGTGTGAGAGTACATTTGTCCTAGATTTGTCATTAATCTTTTTACCAGGGTACAGAAGAGAACTAAACCTATGTTATATAGTGATTTGTTACTATTTGGAGGTGAAATACAGAACATCATTGCTGCAGAATCTGGTGGGATTAATCATACTTGCCTTTATTCAAACAAACTTACACTTGGAGGCTGGCCGTCTTCAGGAAGAATGAGAATGTTTGCATATCTACTTTACTAGATATGTTCCTAAGAACAGCTTCTTAATCTCTAAGATGTGGATCTGTAGTGTCTAAAGAAGAGCTTGTCTTTTGATCAGATGAGATTTAGGATCTTGGGCTTTTTGATTTAATTTGTAATTAGGAATATGAAATATGTATGTCTACTAATTATAGATAAATACTGAAATTGTGGGATTCAAGAGGAAATTTCTATTTTTGACTAAAGCTTTTGGAAAAGTTGTATTTAATTTCAGTAAAAATTTACCAGATCTATCTGATCACCATTGTTGCATATGAAGCTGAATTAGTATCTTCAGTAAAAGACCATTTGAATTTGGTTGTGGAAATACTCATTGCATGCGTATAAAGATCTTAGCAGAAGGTTACAAAGATGAGCTTGTAAACATGATTCAGAGCTGCATAAGGTAGGTCTTACTTAGAGAAGTAGTTTTCTACAGAAGAATATCTGATGTAGCTACTTGGCAGATCAAACAAAAAAGCTTGGTGAGAAGAGCACTGCATCTTTGGGTGGATTTGCTGTCTAATCCTTGAGTCATGTATGGCCAATGTGATTAGCTGTTTTACAAAGATGCCATGTGTATTTATTATTTTGCCCCTTTTAAGGTCTGTGAAGATTACTTCTGAAGCTCTAGAGGCTTATGTAGTGGTGGTTCTGCTTTTTCTGAGGATGCTGTATAAAAAGTGACAAAGTCTTAACACTCTTGACTATTAGTAGGTCTCAGTTGAAGAGAGGGGAGAATGCAAGCGAGATCAAGTGTTTGTTCCTAGCAAGCCACTTCAGCATCCTCTGTTATGTGGGGAACTTTAAGCTCATTCAGAGTGGGTTTCTCGTGTTAAGCACTGTTTTAGGACTGAGCTGTGTGCTGAAGGAGTTAAACCACTCTTAAACTGATTTGTGGTAGACCTGATTATTTTATATGAACGTTCATGAAACAATATGTTAGCATACTTAAAATTAATCCAAACCTTTTTCTACATACTAGAACTTGTATAAGGCCTGTTGTAATCTATGGAGGTACACAAACAGACTATTCGATTCGTCAGGTAAAGCAAGGCTGTAATATACTGTGTGCCACTCCAGGAAGGCTTCTAGACATCATTGGAAGAGGAAAGGTAACATTTTAATGCTTCATCTGAATTTCCTAAATACTCTTACCTAAAAGACAAAATACTATTTTTCATTCTTTAAAGTTAATAGAACAAGAGATTAGTTTTCAGTGGCTCTTTCAGTGTGCTGCCTTTGTATACAGGCACTGAAATACAAGTGAGGTTTTCTTAGACTGTCTAAATTCCATGAAGTTTTTCAAGGAGTAGTCTGAGTCTAGATCTCTTCAGTTCTTTCAGAGACAGCTGGATGATACCAGTCTAAATCAAAGTGGCTGCAGTGATGATGGCAATAAAATTTTATAGCTTAAGTACATGGAACACTTTCACATAGTTCTTGTGGCGTATTCTGTAGAAGATATTCACTTGATGTCCTGTTTTGCTACTGTGGCTGTTTATCTGTCTGGCACTATATTTTTATATTGATCCAAAATACAAAGAACTCCAGGTTATATAATACTATATTTGAAATTTTTTTGCCCAGTCATTATAAATTAATATTAAAACTTTTATGTGTTAGTGTGGTGACTGAGTGATATTCACTAAATAAACATAGTTTGGAAAAAACTTGTTAGTAAACTGGAGATCAGTTTTCTGCACGTCAGACTTTTAGTCAAAAGTGATAGTCTTGGTCAGCAGGGGTGAAGTTGTAATATTCTTAATATTTTCTGACATAATTAGTCTTCAGAAAAATAAAGGTTTTTGGGAATATTTGAGGGTTATGAGAGAACCTTTCTAAAACTCAAGGCATAATTCCAGAATAGGCTGAATTGTTTATGGTCTCTAAGCTCTGTGTTTACATTGCTGAACCAAGTTCTGAAGCACTGTGGTATGTGACTTGGTGCAGAATAAAAGGCTAAGTAGTGGTTGAGATGTAAACCCTTTTTTATTAACTTGAAAGAAATAAGTAAAAGGTGGATTTTGGCAATTAAGTATTTTGCAAGTGCATACTGTCAGTGAACAAATATTGTTTTTCTTTGACTGAAATAATTGCAGATTGGTTTGCATAATGTGAAATATTTGGTGCTAGATGAAGCAGACCGCATGCTTGATATGGGTTTTGGTGCAGATATGAAGAAATTGGTATCTTTCCCGGGCATGCCACAAAAAGAGAAACGCCAAACGCTAATGTTTAGTGCCACTTTTCCTGAAGAAGTTCAGAGGTGAGTAGAATAAAAATAGAAATAAATCTGAAGATGTACTTGTATGGTACTAAATATTTGAAGAGTTAAGAACACTCCTTATTTTTAAAAGCTTGAAAATACTGAAAGTAATCATATTAAAATTTGTTGCTTGGTATAAGCAGGTACTCTAAAACATTAACTGTTTAATTTAAGTAGGGTCTCCTAAGCAATTTAGAAAGTTGTCTGAAGGCTTTTTAAATTCTACTGTTGTAGAGGTCCTCATGTTTCCTCTGTTGGTTTCTTACTCCTCCCCCGCCATGTCTGTGCAAGCTCAAAACCAGGGGTGTTGCCAATAACACCGTCTTTGACTAATAAGATACAGCAATTATTGCTCAACTTACCAGCATTATAGTACTCAATTTTTTAGGTAAATAATTGGTATTTATTTTCAGTAGCTTTAAAGCTTCTACAGATGGCTTTATGATACATCTTACATGTTTACTACTCATTACCTTTAAAGTTCCTCTCACTTTAGGGAACAGTCTTCAACAGGTGATAAGTATGATAGCTGAATAACAGAAGAAAACAAGAATTTTCCAGCAGATGGAATTTTTTTAGTATTTCTTCTGCTTTTTGACCAACATCTAAATACTTGCTGTTAAATCAGAAGAGTCTCTAAAACTCCAGTTGTAGCAGTGCAAATAATTTTGATGACTTCTGTGGTAGGGGTACTGTTAGAAAGAGTTGGTAGTTCAGTGAATCAAATCCTGACAACCTTCTTTGGTCTCAAAAAGTCTGAAAGATCTTTTTTGAGGCAGGGACAAAATACTTCTCAGTAGTTCACTGTCCTGAATGAAAGAGGGGAATGGGCTGCTTTCTCCTATTCAGTCAGGTAATGCTGACCACTGATGTGGAAATGTATCACTTAAAGCAGGACTCGCCTGTTGTGGCTTTGGTTCCTTGTCCAGATTTTTTTCATAGGGTTCTTTTTGTGGAAAAGTAATCTTGTAGTGAGCTAAAAATGACCTTGTTTGCTTAGCTGGTAATCCAGCATTCAGATGATACCATATACAAGTACAGTTTTTGTTCATTCCATGTGTTTACCTGTTTCTGCAAGAATGTGGTCTCACTTCTCAGTGTATCCTGGGAAAAGACCAGATGTGTCTATCTCCCTGTAAGATACTCAGTGTACTCTGATTCACTCAGGTTTTGGGTTTGAAAGAAGAATCTGGGTCCCTTTATCTCTAGGTCTGTTCTCATCATTGTGATTTTGCTCATGCTTTTGCTATGTATTTTTCTTGTGTACTGGAGGATGAACCAAGGGTACTGTAGCTACCAGCAATGAAAAGAGATTCCTTGACCTGTTAAAGATACTTACTGTCTGCTTCTGTTTAGTAATAAAACCCTAATAGACCTACCTTTCCACTGTCAGTCCTGCAGGATTTTCAAGTGCTGGTGGAAGACTTCAGAAACCTGAGTGTTTAGATCATGGTTTGGAAGTGCATAATAATATTAAAGTCCTAGAAACATTTAGATTAGAAAACACCCATGAACTGATTAAGTCTAACCATTAACCCAGGACCAGCAAGTGAACCACTAAGCCAAGTGCCCCACGTGTCGCATATGCATGTCTCTTAAGTACCTTTTGGGCTGGTGATGCCACTGCTTTCCAGGCCAGCCTGCTCCAGTGCTTGAGAACTCTTTTCAGTGAAGATTTTTTTCCTAATAGCTGGTTTAAGCCTCCCTGGGTGCAACTTTGAGTCAGTTTTCTTTTGCCCCTGTTGTTCTTGTAACCTTTTGAAATTGAAAATACCTAAAGTTGACATTTTAGATTGTGAAAACCCTTCTTTTCTGGAGCCAGTTTATTCCTGGATTTAATGCTTTTCTGGTGCTGAAGTCAGGAATGCTAATGATTTCCCCGTAGTGTGCTACCAGAACATCTTTAAACAGTATACTATTTTGATAGTGTTTGACACAAAGATGCTTTCTTTGGACCTCTTGGGTTCAGATCATCCTGCACTTTTGTGAAGTGACTATAATCCAGTTTAGTTTTAACATAACATTTAGTTTTATACCTGAACTCGTTTCTGCTGATAGTTGAAGCTCTTTCTGTACATGTGAGTTGAGACAACCATGCATTTTTATAGTTGACTGGAGAACTTTAATTTAGCATTTAAGGCTTTATATCTTCCACTAAAAGGCTGTGGTTTAATCCCAGCTAGAAACTACATACTATACAGTTGCTTACCCTAGAAGGCTACTCCAGGGTCTCCCTAAAGCCTGCTCTTCCCCAGGCTGAACAACCTCACCTCTTGCAGTCTGTCTTCATAGGAGAGAGGTGCTCCATTTCTGTTATCAACTAGTGGCCTCCATGAACTCATTCCAACAGGTCCACATCTTTCTTACACTGGGGAATCCCAGAGCTGAACACAGGTGGGGTCTGACAATATCAGAGCAGAGGGGCAGAATTGCCTCCCTGGCCCTGCCAGCTGCATTGCTTTGGATGCAGCCTGGGACACTGTTGGCTTCCTAGTCTGCAAGTGTGTCTTGCTGGGTCATGTCTAGCCCCTCATCCACCAGCACCCCCAAGTCTTTCGCTCCAGATCTAGTCTGGATCTATTCTCTGTCCAGCCTGTACATTTCCTGTCCTATCAGCCTGTGTAAAAAGTTTCAGTCTTTTTTTGTAAACCCCCTTTAGGTGCTGGAAGGCTGCAATAAGATTATTCCAGGCTTAATAATCCCCACTCCTTAACTCTCTCAGCTTGTCTTCAGAGGAGAGGGGCTCCAGCCCTCTGATCATCATTGTGGCCTCTCTGAATCTTCTCTGATATGTCTGTCTTCTGCTACAGATGCCACAGCTGGATATAGTACTCCAGCTGAGGTCTTACAAAGGCAGAGTTAGAATCCCTTGACCTGCTGGTCATGCTTCAGGCAGCCCAAGTTGTGGTTTGTGTGCTGGACCCAAACTATGCAGTCTCTTCTGGATTTTTAATAAAAAAATGTATATATATATCAAGACTACTTAAATTGTTCCTTACAAAATGGAAGATAAAAATACTTTTTGTAAGCGTTGCTTAAACATATATTAAAATACGTGTTTTTAAAGCAAGAATAATTACATAACATTTTTCATGATGCTCAATTTTCTTTCTTTTTCAGGCTAGCTTGTGAATTTTTAAAACCTGATTTTTTATTTGTTGTTGTCGGACATGCGGGTGGAGCATGCAGTGATGTTCAGCAAAATATTCTTCAAGTTTCTCAGTATTTCAAGAGGGATAAACTGATAGAAATTCTACACAGCACAGGTAACTTTACTTAATGCCAGTTGTTCACCAGAGAAGTCAAACTTGCCTGGCTTTAAACTTGTGTTTAAAAGTTCATGGCTGTATGATTTTATTGCATGTTGCATGCTTTACAAGACTGGTGATGAAGCTTGAAGCAGAACTTGGGGAGCTGCAGGTTTTTAGGCATATTTTTGTAGGGGTATTTCATAGAGTCAAAGGATAGTTTGGGTTGGAAGGGATTTGTAAATGCCATTGAATCTAGTCTAATGCCCAGTATTTGTCAATTATTAATTTCTATTAAGTACTATCAGACAGCCTTCCTAGATGGCTTTCTACTTTAGTATATGGTCAGTTACAATACTTCAGCAACTGGAGGTATTATCTCAGGATTACAGGTGTATTAAAATTACTGTGTGAATGTTTGGGCCTGTGTTTTATTAAGTGTCTTGGATTTTTCCGTATTTGTTCTATATGTCTTAAGTTTTAATGCTGAAGGCAGAATGTGAGTTTGGAATTAAAAAATGGTCTGTGAAATCTTGCTATTCAGTGCTCAGGATAATGTACTGCTTTGAGCTGCATGCTGTAGAAAGGAAATGCATACCTGTCACAGGGAACAATGTTAATTTTCTGCTTTTATTGAGGAGAAAACAATGTATGTGTCTTCACTCAGTTTCTGTATTGATACAGAAATTGATGGATTGAATTTAATTAGCTCAGAATAGGCAAGAAATTAAATAAATACTTTAAAGACTTTATTCAAAATGTGTGCCTGCATTAGGTGTTACTATAGATCAGCACTACTCTAAATAGTGAAAATGGTGTCATGTTTCAAACTGCCATGGCTCTAAACTTCTGTCCAACGTAGGTAATGAACGAACCCTGGTCTTTGTGGACACAAAGAAAAAAGCAGACTTCATTGCATGCTTTCTTTGTCAAGAAAACATACCAGCCACTAGTATCCATGGGTAAGTATTTTTAAAGTGAAAGTCACCTGTATGTATTAGGAACTGTTACTGAGAACTCATGTTTGGCCATATCTGCGTAGTTTAGCTTGCCATGTGTTTGACAGATACCAGAATATCAATGTTGAAGAAGGGCTAAAATGGTCTTAGCATGCAGATGCAGAAAGTTTGTATATATCCTGTGGCTGTTGGATTTGTAGGTGTGTGAAGGCCACATACCTTTTGAGATCTGGCCTTTCATTTCTGGCAAGCCTGAATTGCTAGCACACAACCATCTCGTGTGGGAGGAGGTTCTTAATTCCATTTCTGTGGAATTACTATATTGTGAATTGAAGTATAGGTAGAATAACTGGTTCAATGGAAGCTGTCAAACTGTCATGAATGTTAACTGGTTTCTGATTCATTTTACCTTTATGAGTTGAAGTTAGGATACCTAGTCTTCTCTGGAGTAGTGGTCATACCAGGCTTCACTAAGAATCCCATGTTAAGATCATAAAGAGCACTATTTAGCTTTCTAATTTGTTTTCTTATTTGGACAATAAAGAACATGAGAGAAATTCTGATTCACTGTAGTTTGGTACCGGATAATCTGTAAATACTCTTAAAATATGGAAACATCAGAGCATAACTAGTTTTCTTGTAATGATAATAAACAGAAGAAAAATTCTGTACCGTTGGCTGGCCACAGGTTTTTTTAGTATATCTGAAAAATGGCCTTTGTGGGGGCCTGTGTAGACTTTGTCTTTGCTACTCTGGCTCCCTGCTACAAAGCTGTAGGAAAAACACTTGTAATCAATTAAGCAAATGGATTTTCTTAGAGAGGCAGTGAGTTTGATGCATAATTATCTCCAGTTCTTTTTACAAACCTCAATTGCTCTAGAGACTTAAGTTTAGACAGTTGCTCTGTCTTGCTGCTCCTCAGTTAAAAATTCAGAAAACCTAAACTGGTCAGTGTATGAATTACTTGGGTCTTTCTTTGTTTTGCATCCATTGTCCCCCCTCGCCCAAGAGCTTCTTTCCATGAAATATGGCACTTAAATTATATCTTAAATAGTACTGTAAATTTTAGAGACAGCCATTCTAACCCTTGCTTTCTTTATAGAGATAGAGAACAAAGAGAGAGAGAAATAGCACTTCGGGATTTTCGTTCTGGAAAATGTCCAGTTCTTGTGGCAACCTCAGTGGCAGCAAGAGGTCTGGACATTGAAAACGTTCAGCACGTTATTAATTTTGATCTTCCTTCCACCATTGAAGAGTATGTACATCGAATTGGGCGAACTGGTCGTTGTGGAAATATAGGAAAAGCTGTTGGCTTCTTTGATAACAATTCAGATGGTCATCTTGCACAACCTTTAATTAAAGTGCTTTCAGATGTAAGTTTCAGATCTTAGTGTTGAACTTTTTCTGTTCTTTAAGATTTCACTTGAATGTACTGAGCAACTGTGACATATTTGGTACGGTTACGGAACTCTTAATCCAAATTGGTAAAGCAATCAAAGTCTCTGAATTGATTTTCCTAACTGCATAGGCTCAGCAGAAAGTTCCTGTTTGGCTGATGGAAGTTGCTTTTGAGACTGAAGGAGGACGGCTCCCAGTTAATACCCAACAAAAGGTAGGTCTGGAAATAAACTGAAAGTCTTGGCTATTAGAACTATGTCTCAGTTTAAAACTGTGTTTAGTGGTACATATCCAGACTAACGCCACTGAAACTGTTTTGACTGTAATTGTGTCCCTTTTCTTAGTTGTGCATCTTCAGAGAATTCAGTATTACTGAAACTGATTTCAGACACGTTGCTTGATTTGGTCTCTTACTAGCTGCTGTAGTGTTAGGATTCCTCTGGAAGAAAACATTCATGCAAACATAAACAAAAGCAGTAGTTCAGAAATTTCTGTGCTACCCATGTAGAGTGGGAGTAAATAATTCCTGATTATACAGTCATGCTTATGAAGTAACATACAGCTGATGCTGACTATACAGCTACTGCTTAGTAGGTTATGAATCATCTTACTAGGTTATGAAGCAGCTCAGTTGACTGAAAATTTCAGCTAATTATAGTTAGGTAAATGCTGTGGTCTGATCTGTGTCGGAATTCTTAATGTCTGTGATGGGGAGAAGCCTTCTAGTCTCTTACTGTTGGTAATTCTAGATTCTGTGCTTACTTCTATTTGAAAGCCTTTCCTTCATGTCTTGATTCCATAAGAACTTCATCCCAGATCAGTTGCTTTCAAATTTTACAAATGTCCTTCCTTTGAGACCAGAGTAGAAATAACTGCTCTCAGTGCTTACTCAATGTCTGAAGATTCACTTCAAGCTCTGACCTTTCTTTCATTAATTGTCTTTCCCCATACCATAGTTATTGAAAGCTTTGGGTGGTTTGGGTATTTTTTACCTAGCTGGTTAGTCCCCTTACTAGATCTGAATCATTTTTCTGGGGGTGAGGGACTTCATGAGATGTCAGTTACACAAATGTTCCTTCCTTCTTAAACTCACAGCCTCACATTACAGTCATTTTGTATGTTTGCACAAACCTTTTCTTGCAGAGTAATTCTTGACTCAGTGGATTTTACTTGTATGCTCTAATTCAAGGACACTTTATTTTTGCTTTTATACTGGATTGCTTTCAGAGGTGGATCTCACTACATTGCTTCCAAATCATTCCTCCAGCCTTTGTGTAGCGTCTCCTAGCATTCCATGAAAGCCATCATTTCTAGATCCAAGTCCATCCATGTTCTTCACAACCTCTGAGTAACCAAATTTGCCTATGACTCTTTGTCCAGAATAGAATAGATTTTCCTGTGAAATCTGTCTGCTTGCATTGGGAATACTGCCCTTAATATCACATACATACTGTGCATCAGCTCCTTGAGTTGAAGAATATGAGGTTTTAATTATTATGAGACTACCTCAAATCAGTCTGATAGAACACAGGGAACTTGTGTGTTCTTCCTTTGTAATCAGCCCAGTTTTTCATGAGTCCGCTTGATAATCAAATGATGAATTTGAAAGAGGAATCTGTTGGAGGATTTTACGTGATTCTTTTGAGGCAGTCTTAGAGATTACTGAGCTTTATCCTTTTTCCAAAGGAAAAGGATTTTACTGGGAATGTAATGCAGACAATCAGTCTTTAGTATGAAGTGGAGAAGAAAGTTTTTTTCCTACAATTGTATGAACTGATTTGTGTTGGGTAAGAAAACAAGTTGGGATTTGAACTGTGGGAAGTGTTACTCTGATAAAATCTGAGGTTGACTTAATTGTAGTAATTCCACACTAGGGTAAAAAAAAAACTTTGTGTATAGGAGATTAATGATGAAAACTTCCTGAGTGTTCAGATTACATTGAGATAGATTAATGCAGAAAGCTAAAATTGTATTGTGGTGATTTACCGTTAAATGATTGAAAGTGTTAATAATTCTAAACTAGGACCTGTTGTGTTTCCTAGAAATACGGAGGCAACATGAATAGAAGAAAAGTAGAGCTGGACTGTTCAGCAAGAGAAATTGAATCATGGGATTAAACTGTTCAGCAAGAGAAATTGAGTTATGGGATTAAACTAGTTTGTACTGTGTTTTGCTGTAAGTTAAATGTTGTATGAGAAGATAATTTTGTGAAGACCCAGTTCGGGAACAAGCTTTTATGTATGGCCTCACCTAAACTTTGTTCCTTTTTTTGGTAACATGTCAGTTAAAAAGTTTCAATCTTGTGTTACGATGATTTAAGTATCTGTTAAAGAGCTCTGAAGCAGTTAATAAAAGTTTGAGAAGTGCACGTGAATTGTTGCCTCTTTAGCAGCTATATGTCATTGCAGTTTCATGAACTGGAACTAAAGGTCAGTGGCTACACTCACAATTTAGTGAAAATAAATGTTTTTTACAGAGCCATCTTTAGAGAAGTTGGAGCCCCTGTGTTGCATCTAGTAGAATGTTTTTAGCTTTGACTGATGTAAATACACTTCTGCTATCTCTTGTGGAAAAGTTTGCTTTAGAACAAGATTGGTGCCTTATAGCCAAGAATTTTCCCAAGCTTGCAGAAGCTGTATGAGGTAAGGAGTCTGTAAAGAGTTCTCTTTACTCTAGATTTCTGTGAAGTTCCTTTTTCATGAAATTTTTTTTTTCTTAGCAATACAGTATGCTACAAAGATGCATATCACTGGGTCCCCAAGGAAAAGAGCAAGGTCATTGTTTTGCACAGCTGAACAAGCTTACAGGCTTCTCATGGCTTGCTATTTAGCACACAGTGCTTGATCACTGTCTTGTATAGTCTTCCCACTAAATCCAGGGAGATAATACTTCTAACATCTGTTTATAGGATAGGAGCCTTAGTACCCAAGTTAGTGGGCATCAGAACTGACTGGGCAATACTAGGGAATTTCTCATTGTGGAAAAGTGGGCTGTCATTCTTTGTGTGAATATGTTTGCAAAACAATTTACTTAAATATTTACTTAGAGAAATACTGTTAATTTTGTAGACTAATTTTACTGCTATATATTATTCAAAAAGAGTAAAGTCTTAATTGTGTACTTGAAAGTGGGCAGAATGGACAGTATACTTAAATTGCAACTTATAAATAGCGGATGTATTTAAGCATTTTGTTAATAATTCAGAGTAAAATACTCTGGGCAGTATGGCTCCTTTCCCTGAGAAGCTCTCATAGAAAAAATTGAGCCAACAAACAAGTCCCTAGAATAGTACTGAAATAAATCAAAGATGAAAAGTCATCTTTACTACTTTTTATGAGAGGGTGAGAGGTGGAAGGACCAAGTCTGCTGGGAGGGAGAAATAAAAACTTGGAAGAGCAATATTTGCAGAAAGGTACGATATTCAATTTTGGTTTAAGTTTTGTGATTCTTTAAATAAGTATTTAATCTGCAGGAAAATATTTCAGTGTAATTTTCAGCTGGCGGAAAACACTGCTAGGAGAAGTTGGGGAATGAGTGCACTGTCAGCTGCCCGTTTATTTTATTTTTGCATTCAAGTAGTATTACATGGAGAACATACTGAAAAACTTACTGGAAAATTCCATGTCAATGCCTTCTTCATTCAAGAGAATCTGGTTGTCCTGGTGGCATGTCTGATTAAGTTCTTTTGAGGAACTGATTTTAACCCAAGAACTGTGTAGCCACATATCTGAGATTCCATTTAGGTGATTCTACTACCTGTAGTTAGTGCTAAACTGGGGTCACTGAATTTTTTCCCCATTGTCTACCTCCAGGTTTATGTAAATATGTTATTTGTATTGGGACTTCAATATCAGGTTGAAGCTTCTTGACAGACCAGTGTTGAGAAATTACATCAAACCTTTCGTTGAACAAAAAACATGAATTATTTTCAAGCTAAATTCAATTTTTATGTGATATATAAAACAATGCCAGTTTGAGCAATAAATGTCCAGTTCTTTTCACTAAAGGAAAACAAATTTATGTGTTGGTTTTGCATGGCCTGGTTTTTGGTGGTGGTGGAGCCACAGAGATGGCTTCTGTGAGAAGCTGCTGCAAGTTTCCACCATACCCAGCAGAGCTAGTCCCTGATGGCTCTGAAGATGGATGTGCTGCTGGTAAAGGCTGAGCCAGTTATAGGTGATGGTAAAGCCTCTTGGAATTAAGAAGAAAATCTAAACAAAGTGGGTGCACAGCACTTCTTTGCGGTCAGCAAAGAAGAGGAGGTGAGAACATGTGATGGAAACACCAATGACAGTGGAGAAGGAAGGGCAGGAGATGCTCCAGGTGCTGGAGCTGCGATTGCTCTTAAGAATGTGGTGAGACCATGGTGAAGCAGCTGTGCCCCTGCAGCCTGTGGTGATCCACAGGGGAATGCAGAGCTCCATCCACAGCCCATGGAGGAGGGACCCGTGCCAGAGCAGGTGGATGCCTGGAGGAGGCTGTGATTCAGTGGGAGACTTGATATAGAATGAGGGCTCTGCTTCCAGGCTGGAGCAGCCTGTCCTTGAAGGACTGCACCCTGTGGAAGAGTGACCCATGCCACAGCAGTTTTGGGAGGACTGTCTGTCCATGGGAGGAACTTGTGGTGCAGCAATTTTAGCAGGATTGCTCTTGAGAGAATGGACCCACACTGGAGAAGTTCACAGAGAACTGTCTCCCATAGGAGGGACCCCACAGTGTACTAGAGGAAGGACAACTCTCCCACAGCAGCAGAAGAAAATCTTGGGTGATGAACTGACCAAAATCCCCACACCCTGTCCCCTGCACTGTCAGTGGGAGGGAGGGGTTGGGTGAAGAAAAGGTGTTTTAAGGGCCTACTTTATTTCTCATTATCCTCTTCTGATTTTGTTAGTAGTAAATTCACTTTGTACCTCTAAGTCAAGCATGTTATGCCCTTGGTGTGTATTCTTCTTTGATTTAAGACAAAGTGTAAAGCTTCAATGTTAGGTAATAAATTTTTTTTTCTGTTAGCCAAGTCTAGTAATTTTAATGTGCTGTCCAGCAGTTCCAGGAATTACCTGGTGACTCAAGAGGTGGGTATTTGCCATCTGTCACATCATCTTCAGTGGCACCATAAATGGACAAATCTTTGCCAAATATGCATGTGCCGCGCTCCCGCCCCGGTTCCCTTTTCCTCTGCCCCGGCTAGCTCTTGTGGGGCGAGGGCGGGCGATGGAGGCACCCTCGGAGGCACCCTCCGCCGCTCCCAGCTGGGGTTTGGAGAGTGCCTTTGTGGGTTCCGGGCAGCGCTAGCAAGCCTCGCGGTGGTAAATGAAGAGCGGATCCAGCTGGGGGCTAAGTCCACTTTATTCGGGCCAACGGGCCAAACGTACAGGAACAGTGCCAGCCAACTGGAACCCCGAACGGGGTCTGACACTGGATTATAAACCTTTGGGGAGGGGTAAACCTTTAGGGAGGGATATTGGTAAACCAATGAGGAAAGGGGAAGGGAGTGGCTCCGGGATGGGGTGATCTGACCTGGTCCAATGGGGGGAGGATATGGGAGGGGCCCCAGGCCCTCATCCAACCACTCGGTGCCCTGAGCAGAAGCTTCCAGATGGAGGGGAAGGAACACCGAGTGACGGGCAAGGCACCTGGGAGGAGACAGGGGAATGACTTTGCACTTTCCAGGATGATGGACAAATACTGGAAAGGCGGGAAGGGGGGACCAGGCGGGAAAACAGGGAACAAACCAAGTGATAATGGGAGTGCACAGGGACAAACCAATGGGTAGTACGGAAATATTAAAACATATAAATTGCACAACTCCATAGTAGTCAGCTAATTTCAGTGTTATATAAACTTGTCATTTTTCCTGCAGCACAATACTATCAAGCAGGATTTCCTTGCACTGTTTCTTTTCCCTCCTTCTTTAAAATGGTTTTCAATACCCAATCCTTAAATATCTGCCAACTTTAAAGAATGCTGTGCTTCACTCATCCTCCACTGTTCAAAATGATATATGTGTGGTCATAGGAGATGGGATAGTTGTTGACAAAGGCTGTGTCCTGGAAATATGAATATGGTTTATACTGAAAGTAGTTGACTCAACTTCGACCTCTTAGTGCCTTTCCTACCACTAGCAGCAGGGAGATAAAAATAGGCAGATGACTTGTCAGTAATTCTTTGTCTTCATCAGCTCTGCCCCTCTACTCCCGCTGCTTAAAAGTACTGAATTTTGTGGGATTCTTAGTCTAAATATGCCAACTAAATTAAGTTTCATTGAAGACCTATGTTTCCTTAAGAGGTTCTGTAATTATAAGGTTTTATGCAGCATACACAAATGTGCTAAGCAAAGAAACATTCTATACCAGAACAAATGAATTTCTGAGCTTGCAATAGAAACTTTTTTGTAGTAGTTGATCAGCTCATTTAGAGATCACTTCTAGAAATTAATATACTTGCTTTATTAATATTTGCTGTCTAGAGTGGTGAATATATAATCCACCCTCTCTGAACCACTTAGAGAATTTTTGTGCATGTAGACTGAGAGTACTATATATACAATTTAAGAATACAAAGCAGTGGTTTATTAGAAGGTGTATATAACTGGTAGCATGTTAATCTTGACTAAATACTAGTGTATCCTTCATAAGACATCTGAGGAATTATAAGGAAAAACCTGACCTTATACTACAGCAACAAAAAAGCCCAGCCTCTCCACTTGAAGACTTGGTCTCCTGACTCCTTGAAAGGTACAATTGTGGGTAGGCAGGTAGGAAAGACAGAAGCACAAATCATTCTATGAATCTTCATAGGAATTTCAGAGACTTGGAATCAAGTCCTGTCTAAAATATTTCCTAAAGTGTTTTTCCTATTCCAGAAATGTGGTGTTCTAGTGAGTGCCTTCAATGTCTAAATTCAGGTTGGTCGTGCTTTGTACTGTAAGTCCTCTCCAAGCTGTGGATATTTCATTTTATAAAAAGCAGTTGTACTTCCATACTGTGTTCTTCAGTCACCAAGATTTACCTCAGATTTGCAAGTTAGAGATTTGTTAGTGAAGTGTTTTGCCCCTAACTGTTTTCCACCCTGAACAGGTTCACAAAGAACTTAGTGTTAGCTACGTGTAATAAAACTC